ACCCCGCCGCTCTGCTCCCCACATCAGCGGCCAGTGAGGAGAGACTCGGCGGCCGGGGGGAGGACGGAACCAGAGGAGAGAGGTATGTGTGGGGGGGGAGGGGAGGTAGGAGTGAGGGGGGGGGCGAGGACGGACAGGCTGCACACATTTTACAAGTGATGGCGGCGACATCGCTGCCATCACTTGTAAACGAACAAGCGGCTTCCCCCACACTACATTTAGTCCTGCATTCCCAAAGCAGGACTAAATGTAGGAAGCAACTTACCGCCCGGCGCCTGGAACTGTATGTTTTCCGGGCGTCGGGGGATTCCACACCGCTGCCGCCCCTCTGCGCCCCGAGGCCTGGCCTCGGTGGCTTTGTGGGGAATCCGGGCCTGAGCCTGCTCTGACGGACCGAAGCGTGTCCGAGCAGGGCAGTGAGAGGGAGGGGTCATCGGCGCCAGTGCCGAAGCTGGGAAAGAGCTGCTGAGTGTCTGCCTGCTGGGAGTTGTAGTCCCAGGAGCCAATGTCGGCACCTAGGTGGTTAACAGGCTTCCCCAAGTAGTGGAACGGCAGGGCCCAGTCACAACTGCGATTCTAGTAGTTGCACCACTTGGGGGTGCCTGGGACAGGAGGAAGAGGGGCCCCGCTAACTGCCACAGCTCCCAGCATGCAGCAGGCCAACTCTCCGCAGCTCCTTTCCCATGGCGTTGCTGGGTGGCCCTTCATGGTTTCTTGCACCGGGGCCCTGAAGTTTCTAGTTACGCCTCTGGTGTGACCAGATCATATTAGTGGGATGATTTATTTAAAGTGAAAGTCCGGGAAAAACGGCTAAACCGACCATTAAATATGTCTATCTTTCCCATTTTATCAGCACGTACAGTCTGGTGATTTACACACATCCGACGCATAAGACAACCAGACGGTCTATGTGACGGCTACCTGGACCTCCTCCCTGCTCGCGGATCGAGGTGATGATGCTGATTCGATGTTCAGCGAGCAGGCTGGAGAGGTGACACAGGAAGCTGCTTTGCTGTGCCACCTGCCTGCCTGTGCTTTGCAGCAGGTTCGGCATATGTGTAAATCTCAGGTCCGCCCCGGCCGTGCAGAATGACACACCGTTTATGTATTCGGCTGTTTCCCCGGAATATGAGATGAAAGAATTGCACAAGGTTCAGACACAATGTTTCACTGCAATAAATGATAAGCTCGGGTTTTGAAAGGCCGCATTAACCTTGGCATTCAAAGGCCTCCGCTGCGCGGCTCTCAGGGAGTGTTCTCCGCATACAGAGGAGTTGTCTTCTCAGGAAATACTTCTCTCTTCTGTGAACACCTCTTCCAGGATTGCAGTGTCCTGCCCTGCTCTGGAATGTTATCCTTCCCCTTATAACACTCATTTAACCCCCAATCAGCCACACCATCTCTAAAAAAAATGAATTCTATAGAGCTGCCGAATATCTGGGTTCAGAGATAAACTATAAATCTGTGCACCCCTGTCTGGCCATAGATCACAAGGTCCCTGTTAGACTGTCAACTCCAGCGAGCATTGCCCCATAGGAATTCCTCACCCCTAGATGGCGCTGATGAGTATAGGAATTCCTCACCCATAGATGGCGCTGATGAGTATAGGAATTCCTCACCCATAGATGGCGCTGATGAGTATAGGAATTCCTCGCACCTAGATGGCGCTGATGAGTATAAGAATTCCTCGCACCTAGATGGCGCTGATGAGTATAGGAATTCCTTGCCCCTAAATGGCGCTGATGAGTATAAGAATCCCTCGCACCTAGATGGCGCTGATGAGTATAGGAATTCCTCGCCCCTAGATGGCGCTGATGAGTATAGGAATTCCTTGCCTCTAGATGGCGCTGATGAGTATAGGAATTCCTCGCCTCTAGATGGCGCTGATGAGTATAGGAATTCCTCGTCTCTAGATGGCGCTGATGAGTATAGGAATTCCTCGCCTCTAGATGGCGCTGATGAGTATAGGAATTCCTCGCCTCTAGATGGCGCTGATGAGTATAAGAATTCCTATACTTGTCAGCACCATCTAGGTGAGCTAGTGCCGTATGAACGGCATCCGCCCAAACTTATAAATGATTAGAAAAGTCTGTCCCAGCATGGTGCAGAGTAGGATCCTTGCTCTTACCTCATGGAGCCGCTGTTGGGCATTCTGAAGGCGACATTGGCGGTCCAAAGCCAGGAGCCAGAGCTGCTGCCAGCGGTTGAGGAGCTGTGCCATGTGTGGGGTGTGCGGGGCGAGGTCCAGGAGAGGAATGGAGGGGCCAGCCTGGGGCGATTTCACCGAGTTTTGTCTTTCTGAAACAACAAACAGTAATTACATCCGAACTTTCCGACAGAACTAGAAAGACACAAGCGGCCCAGAATGTGGACCGAGAGCAGCAAAACCGCAAACTAATGAGCCAACTATCCTACAATTGGATGGAGAGATTGGGGTCAAGATAATATGCAGACAAGTGGAATATCCTTTAAAAGGGGTCAACAAGAACTATCCCTCCATTGTCAGGCCAGACTAGACTACAAGCCTAGAAGCTCCACCAATCAACTTGGAGGTTTCTCATCATTCCGCAGTTCGGACTCCCCTCATTGGATTTCTGAGAGGGGTCTGCATTATTCTATCAAAGCTGAACCCTGCACCCTGTTCCATTATTTCAGGTAAAGTGGAAAATCTCTCCGGTTACCGTACGCAGATATCTATGTAGTGCCCAAATCCTGCCAGGGTTCACCTTCAAGTAGAGCAACTATAGAGCAGCGAACTGAAGACTCCTGGCACAGGGCCTGCAGTGTATTGGGAGCCTCTTGACACAGATCACTTCTATAGCACGGGTCCTATTCACTCACATCACCATGTGTTCACCAAGTGTTCGGAGTACCACTAGAGACTTTTGTTTCCTCCTATACCAGTCATGGTGGAGCTTTGGTTGAGCGGCACAACATGCAATAAAATGCTGTTTGGGCTCTGGTGCTACACAATACCTTGCACTGCCTCATCTATATGACCAGGCAACTTACTGGTAATGGTCTTGCGTGTATTGGTCGCTCGTGTATCAGTCACTTTACGCTTGCAGTTCTTGGTGACTTTCTCCACCTCGGGCTCCTTGCGGCTCAGCTCCTCCATGAACACCTGAAATGAGAAAAGAGGAGAAACTTGACCTTTATTGCTGATATTGAGATGTAGGATGGTTTATTGACCTGCGGTCTAAGATGGAGGATGGAAGGATGTTTTGTAATGTGAGATGAAGGACAGACAGTTGTCCTGAGATTAGAGATGTAGTCTGGTCAGTTGTCCTGAGATTAGAGATGTAGTCTGGTAGCACTGCCTCATCTATATGACCAGGCAACTTACTGGTAATGGTCTTGCGTGTATTGGTCGCTCGTGTATCAGTCACTTTACGCTTGCAGTTCTTGGTGACTTTCTCCACCTCGGGCTCCTTGCGGCTCAGCTCCTCCATGAACACCTGAAATGAGAAAAGAGGAGAAACTTGACCTTTATTGCTGATATTGAGATGTAGGATGGTTTATTGACCTGCGGTCTAAGATGGAGGATGGAAGGATGTTTTGTAATGTGAGATGAAGGACAGACAGTTGTCCTGAGATTAGAGATGTAGTCTGGTCAGTTGTCCTGAGATTAGAGATGTAGTCTGGTCGGTTGTCCTGAGATTAGAGATGTCGGATGGTCAGTTCTCCTGAGATTAGAAATATCGGATGGTCGGTTGTCCTGAGATTAGAGATGGTCGGTTGTCCTGAGATTAGAGATGTAGGACGGTCAGTTGTCCTGAGATTAGAGATGTCGGATGGTTGGTTGTCCTGAGATTAGAGATGTCGGATGGTCGGTTGTCCTGAGATTAGAGATGTCGGTTCTCCTGAGATTAGAGATGTCGGATGGTCGGTTGTCCTGAGATTAGAGATGTAGGACGGTCGGTTCTCCTGAGATTAGAGATGTCGGATGGTCGGTTGTCCTGAGATTGGAGATGACGGATGGTCGGTTGTCCTGAGATTAGGGATGCAGGATGGTCGGTTGTCCTGAGATTAGAGATGTAGGATGGTCGGTTGTCCTGAGATTAGGGATGACGAAAGGTCGGTTGTCCTGAGATTAGAGATGGTGGGTTGTCCCGAGATTAGAGATGTCGGATGGTCGGTTGTCCCGAGATTAGAGATGTGGGGTGGCCGGTATCTTGGTGACTTTCTCCACCTCGGGCTCCTTGCGGCTCAGCTCCTCCATGAACACCTGAAATGAGAAAAGAGGAGAAACTTGACCTTTATTGCTGATATTGAGATGTAGGATGGTTTATTGACCTGCGGTCTAAGATGGAGGATGGAAGGATGTTTTGTAATGTGAGATGAAGGACAGACAGTTGTCCTGAGATTAGAGATGTAGTCTGGTCAGTTGTCCTGAGATTAGAGATGTAGTCTGGTCGGTTGTCCTGAGATTAGAGATGTCGGATGGTCGGTTGTCCTGAGATTAGAGATGTAGTCTGGTCGGTTGTCCTGAGATTAGGGATGTAGGATGGTCGGTTGTCCTGAGATTAGAGATGTAGTCTGGTCGGTTGTCCTGAGATTAGGGATGTAGGATGGTCGGTTGTCCTGAGATTAGAGATGTAGTCTGGTCAGTTGTCCTGAGATTAGAGATGTAGTCTGGTCGGTTGTCCTGAGATTAGGGATGTAGTATGGTCGGTTGTCCTGAGATTAGAGATGTAGTCTGGTCGGTTGTCCTGAGATTAGAGATGTCGGATGGTCAGTTCTCCTGAGATTAGAAATATCGGATGGTCGGTTGTCCTGAGATTAGAGATGGTCGGTTGTCCTGAGATTAGAGATGTAGGACGGTCAGTTGTCCTGAGATTAGAGATGTCGGATGGTTGGTTGTCCTGAGATTAGAGATGTCGGATGGTCGGTTGTCCTGAGATTAGAGATGTCGGTTCTCCTGAGATTAGAGATGTCGGATGGTCGGTTGTCCTGAGATTAGAGATGTAGGACGGTCGGTTCTCCTGAGATTAGAGATGTCGGATGGTCGGTTGTCCTGAGATTGGAGATGACGGATGGTCGGTTGTCCTGAGATTGGAGATGACGGATGGTCGGTTGTCCTGAGATTAGGGATGCAGGATGGTCGGTTGTCCTGAGATTAGAGATGTAGGATGGTCGGTTGTCCTGAGATTAGGGATGACGAAAGGTCGGTTGTCCTGAGATTAGAGATGGTGGGTTGTCCCGAGATTAGAGATGTCGGATGGTCGGTTGTCCCGAGATTAGAGATGTCGGATGGTCGGTTGTCCCGAGATTAGAGATGTCGGATGGTCGGTTGTTATGGGATGTAAGAATATTACCGAGTGTTGTGAGATGATCTCTCCGAGGGTGTCCATGTCTTCCGGCAGGGGCTCCTGATCCCTTAAACTCAACGCTTCCTCTGCCGCTGTTATCCAATCCATGAGCCGAGCGACCTCCGCACGTTCTGCCGCCAAGGACTGAATCTGCGCCTGGATACGGTCTCCCTGCTGCTTGGCCCAGGAAACCACCTGCAAGAAAACAATAATCAGCTGTCAGTGCAGTATCTGTGACATCGAGAGACTGGAGGAACCCTAGAAGTTGATGACCCGTCTAGAGATCCTCCAGTCTTTTGATGTCACATTTGGGAACTCATAGGAGAGCAGCATCAGCAGTAATGTGGGATTATGGGAAACCATACTGTTGGTGTCTATGGTTTACTCCTCTCTAGGACAGCAAGATGACCACCAGCTCCATGTTTTCCGGTGGTGGCCATGATAGGTTAGAAGCTTTATCCTCTGTGGGGACATTAAGTGACTATGCAGCGCCAGCGTCAAGTTACCACTAACACAAGAAGGACCACTTAGAATTTAAAGGTCAATCATCAAAGTGAATTTCTCTCTTATTGATGGAGATCTCAGAGGCAGAGATCACAATTTTATCAGGAAAATCACAACCTTTCGTTTGCACTGGGGCCAGGGTCAGAGGTGTCACAAGGGGGGTGCGGCCCGTAACCGGGTGACACCATTGGAGGAGTGATACCAAAATGACTGATGTCATTTTGGTGTCACCCCCTCTAAAAAGCCGAGCACTCGGTCATGGACCGAGAGCCCGACAATGTCAGGAGAGAGGAGGGGACGTGGCGGCATGCATCATCCCGCCGGGTGAACGTCCCCCTCCTCTCTCTGCCGGCGTCCATCACTGAGATAGCTGCCGGCAGGCGTCAATTAGATGACCGCGCATGCGTGATGACGTCACAGCGGGGTGTCACCTGCTCTCCGCTCTGGGTGACACCCAGCCTCAGGACGCCCCTGGCTAAGGTTAAGTCCTCTTTTTGTCTAGCCTGGTCCCCGCACCCTCCTCTGCCCTGGACTCCGGCAGTCTAAGGACCGTCTTATGCCGGCCAATTAAGTTGCATGAGACGTGAGAACACTCAGCGACATTCCATCGCCGGAGGGGAAGAGAGGTGAGTGCCGACTGCAGCTGGACCGAGGATCAGGTGAGCAGCACAGCTTTATTCCAGCCCCCTAGACAAAATGAGCACCTACCCCTGGTAGTGCCGGGGTACTGCAGCCTCATCGCAAGGGTAAGCTGGTGATTTTTCTTTACCGGAGTTCTTCTTGAAGGTGGAATCTTTATTCGAAATGACACAAACTATGGACACGTAGGGGCTAATGTACAGGCATGCCACCCAATGTATAGCTGGGCGAATGTCGTTTGCGGGGCATTCCCGCCACCAGATGGAGCAGAGGAAGAGGGAGGAGGCGGCACTCTGCATGGTCACTCGGGCGCAGTTGGCACCTGAAGTCATTCACAAGAAGTGATCCCACAACTGGATGAGGAGGCTACACACACAGAGCCATGGAAATTCAGATAATAGAATGCTACTGGAAGATGCACCCCATGATTTAGGTACGTAGGTGTAAGTACCTAAATATGACCTGGTATCAGCCTCAGCACAGCAGAACTCATACTGGGGGAGGGAGAAGTTTTACTGGAGCCAGATAAGTTCATGTGCTCACAAAGAGCAGTATGATAGGAGGTGAGAGCAGAGTGACAAAGGGATGAGCTCAACACTGTGCTGCACTGTCCAGTGAAAGCCGGCCAGCTCCCCATCTTTCATTAATAGGCCCCCCCATCAGCTCCCAGGGGCCCACTCACCTCTTGGTAGCGCGTCTTGCAGATGTTCAGCCAGGATTTGATGGTGATGATGGAGTCGGGGTGGCAGGCGGACAGGATCTCTTGCCCCAGGGAGACGATACACTCCAGAGCCATCTGCTGACACTGTAGGGTGCTCATCAGTTCCTGGAAAGGGAAGGAGAGCAGTGAGATGAGGGGACACATGTGGCGGTGCAGGGCCGGAATAATCCCTCCCCATGGCAGACTTAAAGCAGGGGGCTGGATATGCATCAGCACAATCACTGCCTGTCCATCACACTGACCAATGGGAGTCTTCGGCATTGAGAGATTACTACAATCTGCACAACACCTAGAGAAGTATTTCCTTTTCAGGTCAAATGTATTGTAATATCACATTCTGGCCACTAGATGGAGCTGAGGAGCATAGGAAATTAATATGTTCTTAGTATATTTTCTTCATCAGGCCAAATGTAACATAATGTAATACCACAATATGGCCACTAGATGGAGCTCACCAACATAGGAGAGACGTGTTTAGTTCATGTGCTCAGCAGCGCCACCTAGGGGTCATAATGCAGTATTACATTACAATACATTCCACCCGAAAAGAAAAATAATAAGAAGGTTCATTTTTGCCTCTATTCGCAAAGAAAGAACATTCACGGAAAAACTTGGTGAATAATTTATAAATAGACCTCTATGAGTCGTTCTCGATGATGCAATTGAGAGAACAGGCGCAGGGACAGCAGATTAAAACCCGGGGAAGGGGCAGATAAAAATTGTACGGACTTGAGAAAGGCACTAAAGGACTTCAGTGGTACCCACCTGCTGCTGCTTCTGGCACTCCTGCAGGGCTTGCTCATCCTCAGGGATCACCCCGTACCTCAGCGTCCGCTCAGACTCACCCAGACCCTCCAGGAAGGTGCTGACCAGCGAATGGAACTCCTCCGCCTGCAGACAACAATAACATGCAATTTCTCAGTCAGGGGAACAATCAGCCCGCAGGGGCTCTTCTGGACGGCTCTGGGGGTTCTGCCGGCCATAATGAACCCCGAGCCAAAGCTGGTCATACATCAGCAGAATTTTGTGTTTTTCGGAACATTCGATTTGCTAACAGTTAATGGGATCAAATTGATGATTGATGGATCAGCCTGTTGTGCTTCTCTACCATTGCTGCCCCCTGGTCATTCTTTCTATAACACCCATCATCACTAGTCCACTATGGGGCAATTCCGGAGACCTTGCACAATTGTATATTATTGGAGGAGGAGCTCGAATGTGGAACCGCCTTCCCCACGTGATGGTAACAGCTGGAAGCTCTGAAATATATTGCTCCTAGAGCCAGAAGAAGAAGCTGGTGAAGTAGATCTCTGCTTCCTCAGCTTCTTTGGGGTCCCTAGGTGACCTCAGGGGTCTGAAAGACCCCTAATATCTCCATAAAGAGGACCTGTCGCATCCTATTTGCTATTACATAGGGGGATTGCTAGCTCCCTATGTGATAGCAATAAAGATAGTGTAAAAAAATTTGTTGTTTTATATTGTGGGCCTGTAATTCTTAGCAATAACTCACCTAAATCTGTCCAAACAAGAGTCCAGTAGACATCCCGGATATGATAAAGTTTGAAACACGAAATCATAAATTATAATATAATAATAAAATAATCCGTACCACAGTCAATAGAGTACCGCACATCACATACCGCTCTTGGTACTGAAAATTAACCCCGAGCCACACTCGGGAATACCGCCCGGTCCCCCTGCCCCCCACGCACATAGAAGTGCAAAAACACGCGTGCATCTACGCGAAAAAAGGAAAATTGTGCCGCACATGTTACATATCCCCGGGAACGTCGCAGTGAGAGCAATAATTCTAGGCCCATCAATCACTGATAACACTAAACTGATGAGCAGTAAAAGTGTTTAAAGTATTGCTATGGGAAATTTTGAGTATAGTAGTTTTTTGCCGTTTCACGGACGAACACAATTTTAAGGCATCTCTGGTATCTATTTACCAGGCGTGACCCCGTGTTTGATATTTTACCAAAAAATTGGGTATTATATTCTGTCTCTGTGCACTAAATTTCATTTTAGTGTATTTTGTCCTACAAATACCGGTTTGATAAACATTTACGAAAATACCGTGCAACATTAAAAAATTGCAACTAGCATTTTTTTTATTCTACAGGACCTCTGCTTTCAGAACATAGATCATTGTTTGGGGGTTTTAAGCTGTTTTCTAGCCAAGAATTCTGATTATATCACGTGTGTGCAAATAGTAACAAATCGCTCAGGACAGCAAGTGGTTAAAGCGGAACCCTCGTTTCGTCACTTTATTTAAAAAAAATAATTATTATTTAATATTCAAGAGGCCGGCGCTATAAAAATCCAAAGGTTTACTGCAATAGTCAGCTTTATTCCAGCGCAGTAATAACGATCCGCCACTAGATGTCGCCGGTCCTCCAGGATGAATGAGCCAAAAGTCATTATGATGCCAGAAAAACAAAAACAACATTTTGGGCCCCCAGAAGCTTTTTGCTACGATGTGCTACTACGCACTACCAGAGGAAGACCCTATGATGTCATCAGGCCAGCCAGAAGACCCTTGGAGAAAAGGTATGTAGGGTCTTTCGGGAGTGGGGGGTGTATGTGTATACAATATACAGTATATCTGGGTGATTTTTATACATATCTAAGTTCTTTAAAAAATGCAAAAATTATGAAAAGGGAAATAAAACTAAATCCTAATTCACACTAGAAACGGCCGGCACGTAAGCTCCATGCTGCGTGCACGGCCGTACCAAACAGCTCCCGGGAAGGACAGGAGCTGCGTGTGATTAGTACGCAGCCCGCGTCCTTCTCTATGGGATTGTACAGCCGTACGCCGCCCTACGCTCACGCCAAGTGCAGGTCCGTACGGGTGCGTGTTTCCTGGCTGGGATGCAGACAGGATCCATCTTGTCAGAGTACAAGTACGCTCACCCACACCCGCACGGACGTGCAGGGTGGGTGAGCGTAGGGTGGTGTACAGCCACTTAAAGGATAACTATGGGGTTAGGGCTTTTCCCCATAGTTCTCCTTGGGGTAACGGGAGGACACAAACTAGCGTCTTCCCATCACCCTAAGCTCAGTATACCGCGAGCTACAGCTCGCAGTATACTGAAACGCCGCACCTGGAGCGGATCCCGACTTAGATGATGGGATCCGCCCAGCTGCGTGAGTGACAGCTGGCTCTGCCTATCTAGAGGCAAAGCCAGCTGTACCCGCCCCCTCCCCCGCCCGTTCCGCCATTCAGCGCTGGTGGATCGGAGGGGGGAATCCAGCCCCTCCCCAGTCAGCGCTGGCGGATCGGAGCGGGGAGAGGGGAATCCAGCCCCTCCCCTGTCACGGCAGAGAGCTGTGACAGGATCGAGAGGTGAGGGAACCCGGTATGTGTTCGCTCACTTCCCAATCTACTGAGCCGACCTGTGACAGTCTCATTGTCACAGGTCGGCTAGAACTATGAGATGAGTGGAAATCACTCATGTCATAGTTCTCCTTTAAGGTGGCCATACACTGTACGATTCTCGTACGATAATCGCAAAGTGTATGGAAGGCGTGCGACCGTTTCTACTGTACGGTCGCACGTCTTCCGTCGAACAAACAGGCTGGAAAAACCGCAGAAAATCGTACGATTACAGATTAGTGGCGTGCTTGTTCGACAACTGCCGAACGGGCCGGTGTGCGCACACTGCCCGTTTGTAGTGATCGGAAGCCCGAGCTTTCGATGATCGCAAGTACGATCTGCCTGTCCAAGATGGGCAGATCGTACAAGCTTTTAATAAGCTTACGACCATCGCAAGACAAAAGTCTTGCGATGGTCGTAAGGTGTATGGGCACCTTTAGTCCATCTTGCGCTCGACGTAAGGTGTATGGGCACCTTTAGTCCCATAGAGAAGGACGGGGGCTGCGTACTAATCACACGCACCACCTGTCCTTCCCGGGAGCTGCTCGGTACAGCCCTGCACGCAGCACGCAGCTGTACGTGCCGGCCGATTCTCGTGTGAATGAGGCCTAAAGTATACATTTGTAACTGTTAAAAGACCCGATAACATGGACAGAAATAGTTTGGTGAACTTTGTAAGCTTCCTCTGGTTTATGGTAGAGATAAAGATGGAATAAAAATGTTCCATCACCATCCAGCAGATCATCCGGTTAATGTTTCTTTGATCAGTTTCATTAAAAAAAAAAAAACCTCAATACAATGATAGCAGAATAATGGCAGCTGATCGTTGTTTTCGTGCTGTGGACAACATGGATGGAATTGTTCCTCCTGGACACGCACTGACCTGCTGCAGAGAGGCCTCCAGCCTGGCTTGCTTAGTGACGGAAAGCTGACACACGACGTCCCAGCGATGGCCCAGCTCCTCCATCTGCCTCTGCAGCCAATGAGAGTCGGTGCCAACACCTCCCCGGCTCAGGTCTCGGATGGAGTGTTTCAAGGTCTTCATGGAGCTGGCTCTCTTCCCCAGTTCTTTCTGGAAGGCCTGGAAGACACAGGAGGGGACACCACTGGATGGTGCACCAGGAAAGAACACACGCCTCCTCTCAGCTCCCACCACTTCCAGCCTCTGACAGCTCCCCCCGCAGACATACTGTTCATTCAGCAGTCACCATACCCTGGTAGAGGCATTCTTTTATCATCACTCTGCTTCCCTCTCCCTGTTCACAATCATCTTTCTCTCTGCCCCCCAACCATGCTCAGCTCCTCTCTACCCATCCTCCCCGTGGTCCATGATCAGCGCACACACTGTCAGCTCCTTCTCTGGTTACCCCAATGGCCCATGGTGAGTAGGCACTTCTCTTTACCCTCTGCCATGGCCAACCTCCATTCTGCCCCCTCTATGTCCCCAGTCCCACTCATGTCCATGTTTAGCCCCATACAGCCTTCAGTCTCCTCTCCACGCTTATCTGCCCCTTTACCCCTCAGCCCCTCTCTACCTATCCTCCCCCTGGCCCATGATTAGCTCACACTCTGTCTCCATTCTCTGTCTTCTGCTGTCAGCTTCTGCCTCCCCCAATGTTCCATGGTCAGCTGTCACTTCTCTCTCCCCTCCGCCCTCAGCCATGGCCAACCTTCCACTCTACACCCTCAATGCCCTCCTGGGCCTACCAATGTCTTTGTTTAGCCCCCCTTTCTGCCATCAGCTTCCACTAATCCTCCTGTACTCCCTCCCATTCCAGGATTGGCTTATACTATCCCCCCTTCCCAATGGTATGTTACACTGGGCCAAATAAGTCATTTGCAGCTGAAATACCTTTTCAATGGGTAGCAATGTTTTTTATCAACCACTCAGGGGCCAGAACCAGTCTACCTGAATGAACCCGCTCATGAATTGCACACAGTCATAAAAGCAGAGGTGTCAGTCATATGAAGTGTAACATGGAGTGTGGCCGACACACTCCATGCCTGACTCCGGAGTGCCCCCGTAAAAAGTGTGGTCATTTCTAACTCACATCCAGCTTAAGGACATCTATTCTAGTAAAGACTATACACCGATCAGCCATAACATTATGACCACCTGTCTAATATTGAGTAGGACCCCCTTTTGCCGCCAAAACATCCCTGAACTGCCCAGGCATGGACTCCACTAGACCTCTAAGGGTGTGCTGTGGTATCTGGCGCCAAGCCATCAGTAGCAGGTCCTTTAAGTCCTGTAAGGTGATCGGCCTCCATGGATCGGACTTCCCACAGATGATGGATTGGACTGAGATCTGGAGAATTTGGAGGCCAAGTCAACACCTTGAACTCATTGCTGTGTTCCTCAAACCATTCTTGAACTATTTTTGCAGGGGTGTACTTGGTCAGTAACAATGTTTAGGTGGGTGGTACGTGTCAAAGTAACATCCACATGAATGGCAGGACCCGAGGTTTCCCAGCACAACATTGCCCAAAGCGTCACACTGCCTCCGCCGGCTTGTCTTCTTCCCATAGTACATCCTGGTGCCATCTCTTCCCCAGGTAAGTGACACACACCCACCCGGCCATCCACATGATGTAAAAGAAAACGTCATTCATCAGATCAGGCCACCTTCTTCCATTGCTCCGTGGTCCAGTGCCTTTTTGTGGTGGACAGTGGTCGGCATGGGCACATTGTCTGGTCTGCAGCTACACAGCCCCATACACAACAAACTACAATTCTCTGTGTGTTCAGACACCTTTCTATCAGAACCAGCATTCACTTTATCAGCAATTTGATCCACAGTGGCTCTTCTATTGCATCAGACTAGCCGTGTCAGAATTCGCTCCCCACATCCATCAATGAGCCTTGGCCACCAATGACCCAGTCATCAGTTCACTGCTTTCTCTTCCTTGGACCACTTCTGGTCGGTCCTGACCACTGCAGACCGGGAACATCCCACAAGAGCCGCAGTTTTGGATTTGCTCTGACCAAGTAATCTAGACATCACAATGTGTCAAAGTCCCTCAAATCCTGACACTTGTCCATTTTATCTGCTTCCAACACAAAATTTCACTTGCTGCCTAATAATCCCCCCATATACTACCCAGTATACTACCCCCCACCTCCTGGTGTCATTGTCATATATCCCCCCCACTTCCAGGTGTCATTGTAATATATCCCCCCCACTTCCAGGTGTCATTGTAATATATCCCCCCCACTTCCAGGGGTCATTGTAATATATCCCCCC